TGTGTGTATATATGTGCATATACATATATGTATATGTATGTATATTTGTATATATATGTATATATATGTATACCAGTGATTTAAAAAGGCGCTCGGGCGAGGCGAGGCCCGAGCACCTCGCTAAACTTCCAGGCGGCGCGCTTCAAAGTGGCACCGCCTAGGCGCTCGCCCGAGCCTAGGCGCTCGCCCGAGCCTAGGCGCTGGGCGCTTCGGGCGAGCGCCTGGGTTAAACCAGATGACCGAACCAGGATTTTAGGTCAGGTTCGATCTCCGGTGGTTAGTTGGTTCAATCGAACCAACTAAAATCGATATCAGTTGTCGCTGCCCAACCCCAACCGGCTAACCCTACTCATTGCCGCTGTCGCTCCCGCGCCCGCTACTCGTCGCTGTCGCCGCTCGCCGCTTCCGCTCCTACTCCCACTGCGGCTACTCGCCGCTGTCGCTACTCGTCGCTGCCGCTACTGCTGCCGTTGTCGCCGCTTGCCGCTCCCGCTGCCTCCTTACACTCCTGCTGCCGCTGCCGCTGCTGCTGCCTCCTTACACTCCCGCTGCCTCCTTACATTCCCGCTCCCAATGTCACTACCTCCTTACACTCCCGCTGCCGCTGCAGCTGCCTCCTCACACTCCCGCTTCGGCTCCCGCTGCCGCTGCCGCTTCCTCGTTTCTCAGTCAGCACCCCCTTACACTCTTCTCCTTCTGTATACTGTTAACAGTATACAGTATATTGTTAACAGTATACTGTTGTATAGTATACTGTATACTGTTGTATAGTATATTGTATACTGTTAATAGTATACTATATACTATTAATATTATTAGGTTTATTTAAAATTATTAATTTTTAATACTGTTAATATATTTTCTTAATTTAATAGCATAATTTTATTTAAAATTTTAAATAATTATATTTATTAATTATATTATATATTTTTATATTTTAGCGCCTCGCTTCGCTCGGGCGAGCGCCTAGCGCCTCGGGTGTTTTTGGACCTTAGCGGCTTTTGGCGTCCAGCGCTTTTTAAATCACTGATGTATACGAGGATTTTAATTTCGAATGATGCCATCCGTACTGGGCAGTACGTACCAGTCCGCTAGCAAACCGGTATGTGGACTGACCACTATCGGGCGGTACCGTCGATTGGGGTTGTTTCCGCCCCGTTACCGTAGTGGGCGGTATTAGCCGAGGGAGAAGGAAGAAGAGGGAGAAGAAAAGGGAGAACCTGGAGATCTGGCACTGCTCTCCCTTAACGATCCCGATCCGTCATTTCTCTCCCTTGCTGGATGCCACAAATAAGATGTCGCCTCCTCCTCGTTTGAGGCGACGAGGCCTTGGCATCGTCGCGACTTCTCCTCATCCGCGTGGGGAGAAGCATCGGCGGGGAGAAGAAACGAGGCGACGTTGCCTCTCTATATATATATATATATATATATATATATATATATCGAGGTACCCTCGTTACACTCATACTGTACTGTACCGAGCTAAGATCGAAACTTCGGTACAATACGAAATTGTAATCCTTGTATGTATATATAGATGTATATGTATGTATCTATATGTATATATATGTATATATGTATGTATGTATGTATATATATACACATATATAGATATATATACATATGTAAATATACACACACACACACACACATATATATATATACATATATATATATATATGTACATGTATATATATATATATATGTACATGTATATATGTACATGTACATATGTACATGTACATGGTATGCAGTACCGAATGGTACCACCTGGTACGGGCGGTACATACCGGTTTGATGGCATACCGGTACGCGGACCGCCCGGTACCGCTACAGTGCTACAGTGATATACTGTAGCAGTGCTACAATAATGAAGAAAATATATAAAATTGTTCGGTACACCAGGGTGTACCGCTCGGTATACCGGTACTGTACCGTACCGAGCCAACCTCGAAACACCGGTACGGTACGGTATTGCATACCTTGTATATAAATATACATATGTATATGTATATATACATATACACACATACACATATATATATATATATATATATATATATATATATATATATATATATATATATATATATATATATATATATATAAAGGCAAACTAATATTGAAAGGATGCTTCTAGGCATATGTATAAAAAGCAATGTTACAGAACTATGTGAAGGCCTTAGAGAATTGATGGCTGTAATTGTAACCTTAGATGAGTTGGAAGAAGATGTTAAATTTTATTACAAAAGATATCATGTGAATTAGGATAAAAATAAAAAATATTAGTTTGACAGTTATGGTTAATATTTGTCAACTCTGAATAAGCTGTAGATGAAGTTATAAAGAACCATGTTCATTTCAAGAAGACAAGAAGTACGAGAATATGGATCTTATCGTGGGTGTATCATGTTAATAAGAGCCTAAAGTTAGAGAAAGATGTTGAAAAGGTGATGTAGGAGAACTAAAGAGTAAGATTTAGGTGATTGCATAGCGAGCTAGTGAAAAGATAAAAATGTGGACAAAATAGAGAGGGAAAATTATATAAAATTAAAAAAATGCTTGTTTTAAAGAAAAAACTATTCATAACAATGAAAAGGTATAAGTAAAGCAAAATCAGATATATGCCAGTCTTGATGATGGAGAAAGGCATTGTTACCACTTACCACCTTTTAGAACTAGCTTTACTTAATTGTAATGTTGATTTTTTTTGTCGCAATGTTGATTCACTAGTCTACAATACTTGGTAGCTTTTAAAACTTTAATTTCTCAGCAGATTGGGCTTTGATGGATTGTGTATCATCAAAGGAAAATCTATAACAGTAGCCATCTTGACGCTTTAGAATTATGTAATATTGGAATTAGGTAGCAGGACAATTGGGAAAGAGAGGAGAAGACAATAGGAAATAGAGAACTTCTTGGACTCACTTTTACATCCTCCAAACTTACTTTGGGGGTTTATGAAAAAAGAAACTCATTATCTTCCCCTTTTTTTATACTACCCTTAATTGCAAGAAGAATAGAAAATTACAAAAGTAAGGAAAGAATTTAATTAATCAAGTCAAATCAGTCACTTATTCTTTCCTTATTTGGAGAAGATAAAATTTTAGATTTGTTTTGCAGAATAACTTTCCTTTTTGATAATATATTTGATTAATAGGAAAGAATCTAAATAATCCGTCCTTATATAATGAAGAAACTTCTTTAGAGAGTTGAAATCTTCAAACAAGATTTTCACTTCTCAATCAAATTAAGTTGTGATTTTTTTCTACCTTGAGCACCGTGGGAAATTGAATTAGAAACACAAGAGATGTTGCCCTATAAGGTTGTGACAATTCACGACTTTTACCAAAAAAACAACTTTAAAATACTAAAATATTTTAAACAAAATAAAAAAAAAGACCAAATAGGTAACACATTTAATTGAACTCGAATCCAAGTTCATTATCAATTCAAAGGAATTTGGGTTGGTCTTTCTTCTTTATGAGCCTAATGTAGAGTTAGAAGGTGTTGAATTCTATGGAAAAAGAAGCTTGGAAAGATGGATAAGTTTAATTAAACTGCTAATTTTAGGATCTTCTAGTTCTGACTTCTTAGACAACTGAACATATGGAAAGCAAGGACCTAGGGAACAACAATGAGATGGAAATCCCAAACATGTGGAGCATTATATATGTAAAAGATGCAAAGACTAGGAAACCTCGAAGGCTCAATTTCTCCTAACAATCATTAAGGAGAAAAACTGAAAAAGAACCTCTAAATTTAATCAAGGTGTAGAGAAGTTTGATTTTTTTTATTAGTGCAAACAGATAAGGATTGCCGATATAGAAGATGAGAACTAGGTGTAGGTCTATTGCTAATTACCTTAAATATCACCAGGTCCCTGTTTAGTTTGACCCCAAAACAATGATGCTTATCCAACAAAATTTTCATCATTCATGCAGTAGAAGGGGGAACCAACAACTGGAAAGCGAAAAAAAAGAGAGAAAAAGGGCTATTGTGATGGTTCTTGGATGAAAAGAAATTAAATGTAGAAAATTTCGGTACTTATATATGTGAAAATTGCAAAAGCAGAAAAAGGATGATGCCCTTAGCTCCTCACTAGATAGAGACAGACATATTACCTTGAAGAGAGAATTGGACTGAGTTCAAATAGGAGATATGTGGATCATTCTTGCACTTTTTACACTTTTCGTGACCCTTTGTAGTTTTTAGCCTCTGCAACTAAGGGAGTAGATAAAAAAGAAATGCCTATATGACTATTTAGAGAGAGTAGGGCAATGGATCGAGAACTGAAGTTTGAACCAGTAATGTAGCACATATCTAGAACTCTGTTGAAACAACCAACAGTAAATAATCCTGAGACTTTACTGATCATAATTTATCAAAATGTCTGATTCTGATGATAAACTTGTGAGTGCTGTTAATTTAAGTCGATGTTATGTCTGTTAATAGGTGCCAGCATGGATTATATATGTCAATTTTTGAATATTTTCCTTATTAATAGTGAAGTCGACCTTGATGCCATTCCTTTATATGTGAAACTCAATGTCATTAGGCCATAACATCAAGTATATACTTCCAGAATGATCTTAAATTTAGCTGTTAATATGCCCATGAAATTACATAGCATCATAACTGAGATCAGTGTGTTTTGATGCATCATTAGTGCATTTACTTTCAATATTGTAACTTGTGAACATTCAAGTGGGTGCTTTTCATAATCACTATCTTCAAAATACAATGTCCAGAAACTTAAGTATTGTATAACTCACTGTTTCTTATTTCTGTGTAAAATGTTCTGTAGGCTCCGATTGAGGTTCCTGTCTCCTCTGATAAGTTTTGGCTGCTTACAGAAAATCATTCATTGCAACTTCCATCCCCATTTGATAACAAAGGAAACTATGTGATTAGGTACATTACTTTTCATCATCTTATATCATGGATAGCTGGTGAATATTTGTGACATGCATATATTGTGCTTATATCCACAACATTTCCATAATGCTGCTTTTCATCATCTGACACTTCATTAGTGCACTTCGACACATTCACACCAGCATCTTCTGGAGAACTTCCCTCTCAATTTAGTGAATTTTTTCGGTTTCATAATACTTTCATTTTCACAAGGTTGGTAGCTGAGATAGGTTTATAACCCTCTATAATATTTTCGTCCTCTCCTATAAGTCTTGGCATTAAAAATTTACAAAAATAATTTTCTCAAAATTTGTGTTTTCTTAGATTTGTAGTGACTAGTGAGATCAAGGATTGTCCTGCCAGTCTGGTTTCGTGTAACTCAAATTCCACAAATTTTAATTAATTTGTTTTGTGTAACTCAAATGCCTTAAAAGAAATGGGTTTTGGACTAAGGTTCGACATACCGTACCGTACCGGCGTTTCGACCCGGGCTCGGTACGGTACGGTACCGGTGTACTGGGTGGTACATCAGGGCATACCGAGCGGTACACCTTGGTGTACCGAACAATTTTATACTTTTCTTATACTGTAGCAGTGCTACAATATAGTACTATAGCACTGTAACGGTACTGGGTGGTCCGCGTACCGGTAATCTGTCAGACCGGTACGTACCGCCCGGTATGGGCAGTACGCTTCGGTATGGCAGACCTTGTTTTGGACACTGTCTTATTCATGTTTCTATTTTGAAAAGAATTTCTTTTCCATATGTATCTTACCTTCACCATATACTCTGTAGTTTGAGCCAGCTGGTACGGTGGATGGCAATGAAAGCTGAAGAGGTGGGAGTTGAAATATATCCAGGTTTTGCTGCAAGTGAGGTGATATACTTGGTTGCTTAGTAGTAAACAATGAATTGATTGCTACTTATCTATTTCTAAGCTTGATAATTGGACAGATTTTGTATGATGAAAATCACAGAGTCATTGGAGTTGCAACTAACGATATGGGTGTTGCTAAAGATGGTTCTAAGAGGGAGACTTTTCAACGTGGCGTTGAACTGAAAGGCATGCACCTTTAATATCTTTAACTAAGAGACCATATTATTCAGGTCTATAGACATTTGACATAGTCCTGATCTATATATTACTTATAATCAGCTGCTGTTTTTTTTGCTTCATAGATTGAACTTGGGTTAAATTCTAGCAATTTGTTTAGCTTTAATTAGACTTTTGTTGGAGTCAGTTTTAATTCATATATTAATCTATTTTGAGTCTGTTATATTCATTTTAGGTTTGTTTAAGTCCTATTGCTAACTAGAATAGAATGTGAGTTTTGTTTTAAATAGGTTTGGAGTTTATTGTAATAGATTACATGTACTTTCATGTTATAGTCAACCACTTCTAGTTTAATGGAAAACATAGTTGCCTACTTCATTGAGAATGTGATTAATTAGTTTGAAAAAGGATCAGCGAAATATTTGATAAGAGTCCTTTGAAGACTCAAATATGTTGCTTATTGTTTATATCTTTATAAGGTGTTGTAGATTTTGTTAAGGTGTCATAGTTTCGATAAAGAGCCCTAAGAATGTTGAACTTCTAGTGGGTTGATAATTTCCTTTAAAGAAAGTTGTATATTTCTTTAAATAATCCTGGGTAATTAGATATATATATGTTAAAAGCTGCAGATTATGATATGCAGCTGGTCGTTAGATATATATTTTATGTTTCTTCTCCATTTGTCATTTTGTAAATAGAAGTCCTGTGAGTCTTTGCCTTACATTAGAGTTTTCTCTTGAGAGTCAGCGCAGGTGTACAACTCATACAATTGGATAGTGGTAATAGAACACGAATTTTCTTTAGGTTGTTGGCTCCTATTATTCTTTTTCTCCTTCATATTGGGATCCTCCTGATCTTTTTTTTCCATCCACATTCTTCTCTCTGCAACGATTCGTCACTCTCTTTTTTATTGATGTGCTTCTCTTTATTTTTGAAACATAAAATATCATGGAATAAGATTGTGATACAGTGAGGTGATGCTGTGATAAAATCTTAGGATGATGACTCAACAGCTTGAGTTGGATCCTAGTCCCTATGGGGGTATGGAGTTGTTCACTTGCTTCATATTCTTGAAGATACTCAAATTTGTCAGGTAGTCTACATGAAATTTCATATGATCCAACTTTTCAGGGGACAAAAGTACTGGACGAGTCTTCACATAGTTGGCTATGTTTAGGCCTTGGTTGGCTGTAGGGACTGGTGTAGATCCCAAGGTGTGGGCTTGGGCTGGCAGAAGGGGACCCATTTCACCACATCAGCTCCTAAAGTGAGTTAGATCCTGCCATAGAGAAGTCTTCCAGCCTGTGTAAGAGTTTGACAAAGGTTGGGCATGGTTCGACTAGTGAACTGATTGTATTCCTACTTTTCTTAGGACTTAGGAGTAAATAAAGAATGGTCAACCCAGCAAGAGAATTCTGACTGTAATTATTTTGTTGAAGCAGCCTTAGATACAATAGGAGAAGGTTTGCATCTCTAAATAACTTAAAAGAATGAGAAGGCCATAGAGGAAGAGGGCTCACAATCTGCATGTCAAATTGGAAATCTTTTAGGAATATATCTTGTACTTGATAACCAAAACTATAATGTTTCGAAGTGACATATGAGGTGGTGGGATTAGCTTCTCTCCACAAATCCTCCAAATATATTGTACATCATTAAAGTGATGTGGACTTTCTTTTTCCTCCTCTTTATTTACACACACCTCCCTTCCCCCCTTCTCTTTCTGGCCTTCCAAGTTACCTTTTGCAGGTTACATCTTTCTTCAAAGTAAGAGTAAGATAGCACTTGATAAGATGTAACTCATGTTATCATTGACTTCTTGATTTGGTTATTATTTTATACAAGCTATACTTAATTCATTACCTAGGTAACTAAGATTAGTAAAATGGAGGTATCCTTAACTTAGCAGAAATTCTTTTAGTTTACGTCATTGTGCTGCAATTTATTGTGTGTATATTCTATACTTGTGAATTGCACAATGTGCCATTAGGAAAGATCTTCTCACTAATTATTAGTTTGAATGACTTTTTTGTTTCTTGTGCCAGTAAATCTAGAGCCATTATACTGTATATCATGTGAACTGCTAGAAGTTGTCCTTTATGAGCATAAAGTTTTGTCAATGCATGTTCAAATTTGGTCTTTGTTGTAAAGTATTGGCTTTTATATATAGAAGCTTTGTTTTCTGAGGGATTGTTTCTGTTTTTGGATGGATTATGAAGAGGACGAGGAGGAAAAGAAAACTGTTCGCACATTGTCCATTTTGTTGGTTTGAATCTATATTATCTTTTGCAAGATACTTCAATTTTTATTTGGCTCATTATATATATGTTGAATATGTTTTAGGACGTGTCACACTTCTTGCTGAAGGATGTCGAGGGTCACTGTCAGAGGTTTGCTTAACTTATCTGGTGATCCTTTCACAGTTTCAGTTTTTTATTTTTTGGATTATGTAGTTCATTTTTTTGCATGTCAAAATTTTTTTCTTAGAAAATGATAAGGGCTCACAAACTACGCGAAAAAGTACAAGGACAGCATCAAACTTATGCCTTGGGCATCAAGGAGGTAATGGATTTTTTTTTATTTAATCATTATATACATTTATGTTTTAACTTTTAATCCTTACCATGTCTCTGTTATTCTCTTAACAGACAAAACATGTTGTTTGCATATCAGTTTTTCAGCCCCTCTGTAAATTTGGGCATGAGTGCCCAAGGTTCGCCGTATCGTACCATACCGGCGTTTCGACCCGGGCTCGGTACGGTACGGTACCGGTGTATTGAACGGTATATCAGGACGTACCGAGCGGTACACCCTGGTGTACCGAACAATTATATATTTTTTTCATACTATAGCAGTGCTACAGTATAATACTGTAGCACTGTAGTGGTATCGGGCGGTCCACGTACCGGTAACCTGTCGGACCGGTACGTACCGCCCATACCGGGCGGTATACTTCGGTATGGCAGACCTTGTGAGTGCCCAAACATGTAGGTTCCAACATGAAGTACTTGATAAAATAGTGCAAATATTGGCTAATGGATCCTCTAAATCTTTATTTGTTAGTTTCACAGTTACTAGGAAGTAGGAAAACATTTTCCCACTCAACTTTGCATTCTACTGGAAACCAGCTTAGGAAACTAAATTATTTTTCCTCAAAGCTTGTGAGAAACTTGACAATATTCCAAATCAACTCTGTTAGGAGAAAACAAATCGATACCGGATTCAAAGAAAAAAAAAAGCAAACATAGACAAAGACACATGAATTTACACGGTTCACTCAAACTGGCCTATGTCCACGGAGCCACTGCACTGCAGATCTTCACTACAAGGGGAAAATTACAAGTGTGTAAAAACATTTAGTCCTCAGCAACCTCTCAAACTCTCAGCAACTTCTATCAATACTCCACACATCCACACCTAACAAGAGAACTCCTCTCTATTTATAGTGTGTACACACCAAGAAAAAAGAGATCACCTGTAACCCATTAATCTAAAGATTCTAAACAATCTCTAATTTGTAGCCACAAATTACTTATCCTTATTTCTGAACTCTCTTCTATATGTTTTGCATGAATAATGTCGAATTGTATGACACGAGAGTACATGTCATGTTCAGGTTTGGGAAATTGAGGAAGGAAAGCATAAACCAGGATCTGTGCTACATACAGTGGGATGGCCATTGGATATGAAGACATATGGAGGTTCTTTTTTGTACCACATGAGTAATAGGCAGGTGATTTAGTACTTTTCAATATTTTTAAAAGCTAGATCTAAGTTGCATTTTTTATTTACAATTTCACTGTCTCGCTTTCTAGGATTAAAAGATCTACTTCCAGGGACTTCACAGTTGAAGCATTTCAATGCGAATTTTCTCTTCCTAAACTACCTCTTGATAAATAAATCAGAAAAATATTTTTTAGTGGGTTTTAAGATTCTATCAAGTTTTTTCCATAATAATGACAAACAGTTTTACAGTTTGTTGTTGTATTTATTGAATGATATATATATATATATATATATATATATATATATATATAAACATTTGCCAATTATTGACTGGTGCTAATATTACGATTAAAATTCTGAAGTTCACGTGATTACAACATGTGACCCTGCAGGCAATTTCTTTAAAGTATAAATTAATGCTATAATTATTCATTATTAAGACAATTATATATTTGAATATACAAGAGATATGCAGTTATGCACATTATAACTTGTTGAAGTTAGTGTATTGGATATAATGCTTCCACTTGACATAAACATTAAAATTAATTATTATAGAAAACATGGCTAATATCTTGTTTAGCATACCTCCAGTGGGTAACATGTAATCTCCCAAAATGTTCATTACAAAAGTGTCCAGTTCCTTTAAGAGAGAGACAACAATAATTTGTCTGATCCCCACCGAATATATATGATACAATACGTTGAGTTGAGAACAAAGTTTTGTCATCGAAGTCATACATAAAGACTTTTACCTGTGCCTGGCCTTTGAAGTCTATCTTTTTGCACTTCTATTTTTCTGAAAGGTTAAGTTTATGTTTTCAAGATGAAGCCACATAATCGAGTAAATGCCAATAAACTTAGTTCTCCCTTGTGTTTTAAGAAGCACAAAACAAGGATTGCATGCCAGTCAGCTCTGGGTTGGCAGGTTGGGATGTTCTGTGTGAAGTCGATATCAGCACACTACCATAACATAAAATGGCAATCCTAGGAACAAGTTTTGACTCATCTGGCTGCTATATGGTTGAGCTGTTTGTTAGCAGATCATCTTAATATCCAAATTTGGCATTATAAAGCTCAGTAAATTAGTAAATAACCAATCTGGATATTTTCCAGGCTTATCTTTTGTACTCACAATTTATCTAATTCGCAATTGCATATTATGTGTAGATCGCTATCGGACTTGTCATTGCCTTAAATTATCACAACCCTTATTTGAACCCTTATGACGAATTCCAGGTATCTCCTCTGTACTAAGGTTGATTTATGCATTTTATCCTTTTAACAGTTATTTAAATCTGTTGTTGGTTGTCATTGTTTGAGTAGAATCTGGCATTTCGTTTATGCATATTGGTAGTCATCTGGTCTCTCTAACTAACAGTTCATCCTGGGTAGTGGAGAAGACCATTGCAGAATGTTATCAGCATTCCCTTGTCGAGCTAGTTAGTGAAATGACTGTTTCCATAGATGCTGGGTGTTTATTTCTTTTCACATGTTTTGCCCTCATGATCTGACATATCTACTTTCATTCTACCTGTGGAACCAAGTTGGTCTATTATTATACCCATTTTTGATAATTCATCTTCAGCTACTATGTAGAATTAAATAGTCATTTTGACATTCAAACACCCAATCCTTTATTACTGTATGAACCAGCTTTGTTATCTTTAATCACCAGATGGTGATTCGACATCAACCGGTTTTAATTAAAATTATTAACCAATATGCACTTAGTGCTAGAGATGTTTTCTACCTTGTATGTTAAAATAAGATTATGCACCTAAAGAAGTGCTTTCTAGTGCTTGATTATCAGTTTGAACAACTTGACTAGTTGAAAATGTAGCTTTTATTATCCTTTGGGTGCCTTCTAATCACCAATTCATCTGACTCTTCTTCGATTCGGAGGCATATCTGATGGCTTCATTGTATAATTTTGAAACTTTATTTGGAAAGCTATACTTGTTATGGTTTGAGAGCAAAACCATACATGTAACGGCTGATTGTTTGCAAGTGAATGCATATTCAGAATATTTTATTAGTGCTCTGACAGTTATAATATTCATCTACTTCAACAAAGATTCCCTATTTTGAGACCCTCTGTTACAGAGTCAATCACTTATTATTTGTGGTAACACCATATCTTACCATGACTTTCACGTAGTGATAACTTTATTTAGTCCAGTTACCAACATTATCTTTGTGTTGACCCCATTGGATCTGCGAGACCATTTTTAACCTAGGCCCATATAAATTTTGTGACCAGATGGGTCTGGGTCCTGGTCAGTTCTATTGTCGAAGGTGGCATTGGTTATGCAGGTCAGTTTCATGAATTTGACAGTTTGAGTCATTAAATATATAATTGAATATCACTTAATTCTACAGAATCAAAAACAATAAATACCTATACTATGAGTACGTGAACATTAACATATTGATTTTCAGAAAATGGTTAACATTTCTGTTTCTATAAATTAACGGACATAAGGAAATCAAGAGCAAAATAAGGGGCAAAAAGAATATAAGCTAACTTTTAAACCATGAAAGCCCCTTTTAGGAATTACTAGTAGATTTAGTATTTTTAATTTATTATAATATCAAAATGTTGAGCTCAGGAAATTGATTGTGATTGGTTACAGCCAGGTATTTTTCACTGAACCCAAACATGGCGAATAATTCTAGTTACTCTCATAATAAGATTGATGGGCTCTAGGTTCTTGATTAGGTCTCAGTTGTGACCAAGTCATGGCTGGATTGTCATATTTCATTCTCTAGCTTATTTCTCTACTTTTGCTTTCTAATTTCATGGTGGTCATGTTGATATTCTCGTTTTTCTTGGGAAGAAAACAATGCCTCATTTGTTGTTGTGTTGTCTTGCTTCTGTGACAACCCAATGAAGTGGGAGATTGAATATACTTGTATATAGGGCTAGATGATTTTACTACTATTAAATTAAAGATTTTTGGACCAAGTTAATGGATTAATTCTTTTGTCAGATGGGGTCATGGTAATTGGTACGACAGCAGACTAGTATTATACATGGTTGGGGACAATTTTGTTAGACATCTGCATATGTTTATCACTTTAGAAGTGGTTCACTGCAACTCTACTAACTGGTATGATTTGGGATTGCATAAATATTTATATCACTTTAGAAGTAGTTCACTACAACCCTACTAATGGATCTGTGATTTAGTGATTTCAATTTTGTAAAGCCACTCATTTTTAAAAAATCTCTCTTGCAATAGGTGCCCTAGTGCTTCCTAGGGATTGAAAACCAAGTAGTTACAGCTAATTGGACTGGTAATCCACATTCTTACTGGAGGAAAAAAAGTAAAATGAAAGAAATTCAATTTTAAAGTGCATCGGTACATGTTAGATATCCTTGCACATTGTAAAGAACGTTTATACAGTTAATTGAAACTGAAATTTATATCCATTTGGCGACTAAGCTTTTAGAACTCTGGTGTGTAGTTTGAGTTTCTCAGAGCGCAATTGCTTATACCTCCTTTAGATAGAAGGGGTAAGAAAGGTCAGGTTCATCTAGAATAGTAATGTGTGTATAAAATTAGGGAGCATATTGTAATTTAGAAGATTCTATCTTCTATTGAAAATTTCTATTGATCTTGTTACTGATCTAGTATGTTTAATTTAACTTGCACATAATATTGGTTCTGTTAATTTTTGTTCTATGCAAAAAATCCATGATTTCAATCTGATAGAGATTGGGTTTTGATGTTATACGCATCTGAACATGTTATACTGAAAGTTAAAAGAATTTATATCCTTTTAGGCTTGTGTTGATCCTAAAAACCATCTTTTCATCTTATATTGTATCCATGACTCTAAATGCACAAACCTATAGTTTTCTTATCTGTCAGTGTTTGATGTTTAAATATATAGAAATTGTTAATTTTCTTTACAAGTAATATGTCCTGTGTTTTCTAAATGAAGTTGCATTCAGCTCTTAGTTTCTGTTCTTTTATTCTCCTTGTTTCCAGTGCCTTCCAGTTCCAGATTATATTCTGCTAATTAGGTAGTCTGCCTGCTTTTATGGGATTCTCATATGTTACCTGCATCTGATATATGGAAGCTAATGACTACTCTCTGGCCACTTCTTATTCGTAATTATTTCTTTCTAAATCTTAGAAATTCAAGCACCACCCTGCCATCAAACCACTTTTGATGGGTGGAACAGTTCTCGAGTATGGTGCTCGCACATTGAATGAAGGTGGTTTCCAGGTGCATATGAGCAAACTAATCTTCTCTTTGACTCATTAAAGTGACTGATGATGTATATTTACCTACATTTGCAGTCCTATTTTAAAGTTATGTTACTCATAATCTGATACAACTATTATGTGTAATGTTTCAGTCAATACCTTATTCAGTAGTTCCTGGAGGAGCAATTATTGGATGTTCTGCTGGCTTTCTAGATGTGCCTAAGATAAAGGGCACACATACTGCCATGAAATCAGGTTTTGCTTTCAGTTGCAAAATGTTCTTTGGTGCACTGTTCCATTTTTCCTGGACTTTGTTAAGCTTTTTGTTTATATCCTTCTATGATGGTAATTATATAAACAACATATTTTACTGCTTTACTATGTATGCTAGAACATTGCATTACTTCACCTTCTGCATATGTTTATTAGTTGTTTTAAAGAGTTTCCCCTGGTAAAATTCTTCTGTGCCCTCTAGGTATGCTGGCAGGGGAAGCAGCTTTTAGAACACTAGTTGAAGGAGCAACAATGGAAACATACTGGGACAATTTGAAAAAGTCCTGGATTTGGGAAGATCTGAAAAGAGCTAGAAACTACCGACCAGTTAGTCATTAATTCCTTTTCCTGCCATCTTTGGCATCTTGCTAGATAAAATTTTGCAGTATTAACATTATGAGAAGCATATGGGTCAAACTTTGCAGTTGTGTCTGTTTTCTTATCTTCAATATGTGAAGACTTCATTTCTTTCAGGCCTTTAAATATGGGCTTATACCTGGATTGGCCTTCTCTGCACTGGAGCGGTAAGGTTGAACTGTGTGACAATCTTACCTTTTCTGCACTTAAGATGTCAAACTGCTTATATTATTTTGTTTTATGTATGTCAGCTATGTCTTCAGAGGAAGACTGCCTTTGACACTGAAGCATGGGAAACCTGATCATGAAGCTACAGATGTGAGGATATTTTGCTCCAATTTTTTATAAAATTATAGTATATATTAAGAATAGGGATATGCAACAGTTCTTTTTCAGTTACATATTTTCATTTGCTAGTAGTTCACCAACTAATTAAATTCTCCTGAATGCTTAGATCGCCAGTCTGCATGCTCCAATTCAATACCCAAAGCCGGATGGACAAATATCTTTCGACGTGCCAACTTCACTGTACAGGTTTGTAGTAGCAAAATTTACAACGAAATGGTTGCTGTTGTTCCGTGCTTCTATTATCTCTTGCATTAGCACAAGCTTTCTGATGAGAGGACCCATGATTGGTAGCCATGATGTCTATGGATTTTTCCAATGTTAAGGAGCTCTAGACCCTTGCTCTTGTGGCACATCAATTGTTGCCTCCATTTGTAGGTTTTTTATGTGTTAAATGCCTCCTTGCTTGGCTTGGCAAGAAGAGATCAAGCATAGTTATCATTTATAAATGCATCCATGGAAGGGGACAAGAGACTTGCCATAACAGGGCTCGTATCCTGCGACGCCCTCAACATCCAACTAAAGGTTACTGTGGGACAAATGGCTCCCCTCCTCCGAATGCATGCATGGAGAGGGAGAAAGATATGATGTATAATCATCGATGCCTATGTGTAGGGCGCAATGTGAACATGGATTTGAGTTTCAATCTATATGCATTCATGCATCTATCACGAGCATCCCCTCATTGCATTACTGGTGTAGAGTCCATGCTACTATGTTACTGTCATCATGTATTGTGCTGACACATGATTGACATATGCCTATTGGTATTTTCCAAGCAGGGCAGGATTTCAAACACTGGTCGGGCCTGTATATACCTACTGTATATACAAGCCAACCAAACACTGATTTCAGACCATATAGATTGTTACTGACGGGTACTTTTTTTTTTTACCTTGAGACATCAAGCAGTATGGATCAGTACACCATCCAATATTTTCAAACTGAACTGGTCCAACCATTTGTCGAAACTGGTATTAGATAAAGTTCTTGATATAGGGCATGCTACTTCTGCTTAAACTTGTTGCAGCCTTCAACCCTATTCCATCTATTGGGCCCATCGATCTGCACAATCTTTACCTGTGGTCTATGTGCCATGGTTTAGGGGGGGGTGTGTGTGTGGTTGGGGGGACTGGTCTATTTAATATTTAGAACCATGACCTTAATAACCACAAAGTTTCTGGAGTAGCTGATATCAGCAATTCAAATTATTAGCTTTTCATGTATTCTATCCTTTTCTCTACTTTTCCCTAATGATAAGTTTAAATGGATTGAATTTATACTGCAGGAGCAACACAAATCATGAACATGACCAACCAGCTCATCTTCATTTGAGGGATTCAACAGTACCTGAATTAGTAAATCTTCCACTATATGCTGGACCGGAGTCGAGATATTGCCCAGCTCGTGTTTATGAGTAAGGAATAGTGTTAGTACCCATTACTGTACCATTATTTTTTCCGATTATTCTCCAATATACTAATTGTGATTGAAGTAATGACCAACAAACTAAATGATGAAATAGATATAAAAAGCTAAACAAAGTGCCTGTTTCTTATGTTTATGATTTTTTTCTTTTTGTACTTGACAAAGGTATACTCCAGATGAGAATCATCGTCTGAAGCTTCACATCAATGCCCAAAATTGTCTACACTGTAAGGTACTGATTGTTTATTCAGATTACTGTTCTTTGTGACTGTGATACAAAATGATTAGAAACAGCAATATAATTGTTTAACAAGGAAAGTTGTCTCCTAATAGTTTAAGAGGGTGTCTCATCCATTATGATCAGTGATTTCAATAGGCGCTCGGGCGCTCGCCTAGGTGCTTGGGTGAGGCAAGGCCCGAGCGCCTCGCTTCATTTCTAGGCGGCGCGCTTCAAAGAGGTGCCGCTCGCCTGAGCCTAGGTGACGGGCGCTTCGAGCGAGCGTCCGGGCTAAACCAGGTGACCGAACCAGCGTTTTAGGTCTGGTTCGGTCTCCGGTGCTTTAGTCGGTTCAATCGAACCAACTAAAGCACCGATATTAACCTTCCTCTCGCGACTTTCCAACCCTAACCCTGCTCATCGCTCCCGTTGCCGTTGCTCGCTGCTACCGCTGCCATTATCGCTGCTCTCTGCTTCCACTGTCGCTGTTCGCTACTATCGATGCCGCTGCTCGCCACTACCGCTACCGCTGCCACCATCGTTGCTCGTCGCTCCCACTCCTGCTGCTCGCTGCTGCCACTATCGTCGCTTGTCGCTCCCACTCCCGCTTCTCGCTGCTGCCACTACCACTGTCGGTGCTCGCCTCTCCTGCTCCCGCTGCCGTTGCTCACTGCTACCGCTACCGTTGTCGCTGCTCTCAGTCAGCAGCCTCGGTCTTCCTCTTACTCTCACTCTTCTCAGTCTTACTCTTACACTGCATCCCCGCTAGCATTGTCGTTGCTCGCTGCTATTGCTATTGCTGCCGCTGCCACTACCGCTGCTCGCCATTATCGTCTCTCCCGCTGTCGCTACTCGTCGTTACTGTTACTCTTATTCTCTCTTCTCACATCGACTCGATAGTATACTGTTAACAGTATATTAACTATATACTGTTAACTGTATACTAGTAACAATATTTTTTAATCTATTAGATTAATAATATATTATTTTGATTTTAATACTGCTAATTTTTATTTATTTGGAATTATTGTTATTGTTTTGAATTTTGAGATTTTTTGTTAATGTGATATTGTGATTTTGTAAGATTTTTTAATTTAATATCATATTTTTTTATTTAAATAATTATATTTATTAATTATATTATATATTTTTATATTTTAGTGCCTCGCTTCGCTCGAGTGTTTTTGGACCTTGGCGCCTTTTGGTGCCTAGCGTTTTTTAAATCACTAATTATGATATTCAATTGAAAGAGTTAGTCCTACTATATTTTCTGATCTTGATAGTGCAAAATTAGTTTTTTTTATGCAAAGGGGTCATGTTACTGTACATTTGTGAACCATTTTAGTCTTTTTGATGCTTATCAATCCAATATGTGAAATGCGATACCTGATACTCTTGATTGCCACTGCCAGTGGAGGTGAACTTTTTATCTTTACGTATTGATTTTGAAGTTCTTGATGAGCTTAAGTTAGCTTGATTCATTCTGGATGCTGCTTCATCATCATTATGGTAATTAATTCACAAGATTCTCCTTAGTTCATAGTTAAGCAGGCAGGGCAAATTCATGCACTAGAAACAGCACTTGGCTTTGGAGTTTGTTATGGTACAGTCCTAAACTGATAGATTAAGTTTTATAAATAATTCTTTTGAGGCAAAGGATAGACAAAAGCTTTCCAACTAATAGCATTAAGATAAATGAGTAAAAAATGAGAAAATGGAAAGAAATTTTGGGAGGCTTTGTGGAACAATAAGTCTCCAGGAATAAATTCACCATCAAGAGTCCTTGAGGCTCCATTTGGTATGAATACTAGAAAATCTTTTGATATCGTTAGAAGTTCCAAATAGGGACAAAGTTTCAAGTCACATTTTTGAAATCTCAACTTAAGATGTTCAAATAGCACCTAGGATTTCATTTTTCTGTGTTTGGTTCAAAGATATTATTATTGTTTTGTTTAGCCTAGGGTTTAATCCTTTGTTTTTCAAGTTTGAATAGTATATTAGGATTCTAAAGTCCCATGCTTCAGATTAGGGTTTTTGAATAGTCCACTTCCACATGAGCAGAAGGTGTTTGGTTTAAATTTTTGGATTTCAGAAGAAATTCCCATTGCATCTCCATAATAAACTAGGCCTACACAAGTTTTGGGATCTATATCAGGGTTCCTAGAATTATCAGAAGTAGTAGACTTGCACAACCTTCAATCAGACCAGTATAGCAAATCCATCCCTGATTTTCCTCCATACCAAGATAAATGATTAAATTCCCTAATTACCCCACTAATCCTGCCAATTTGTGCAGCAAGGTTATGGAATCCTGGGAGAAGCAATGGGATGACTTGTTTGTGCCAATTCCTTATAAGATTATTCTACAGTGGATTTGATAACATGGTTAGAGCACTAATGTATCTTGAGCTTACACTAAATTCGGTTGTAAAAGATTAAAAAAGAAGAATCAGATTGTTCATGAATATGTAAGGCACTAGATTGATGTGGAAACCTAAGAATGGAAACTTGTTTATGCAAAATAGTAAATAGAACTAGTAGCATCAGAAATTTCTCTCTCTAGAATGTAACTAAGTAGTAGAGTAATCTCTACGAGAACCAATTGCATGAAGATTTTATCAGATTGGTTAATGCATAATGGACTTCCAAACACTCATCCAAATGCATCTTGCTTTGTTGATCTTTATGCATTGCTATAACCTTTGATGAAAGCATTGAAAAATATGAGGCTGAAGGTCCATATCACTTTTCTATATTGTGGTCTGCCTCAGGCTTTGCTCGTCAACAGAAACATCAAGTCATCATAAAGTTCGTGAATTTCAATTTGTTCGTTGAATGGTCTTAAATTTTTTGAGTGAAAAATAGGTCTTAAATTGGTATATTGTTATTAGTCTTCAATTGATTCATCATTAGAATCAAATGTTCTCCTGAATTGTCCTAACTCTGTTGTTATTAATGATGTCATAGGCTTGCGATATTAAAGATCCGAGGCAAAACATCAAGTGGACGGTACCGGAAGGTGGTGGTGGTCCTGGGTACACAATTATGTGATATCACATATAAAGGAGTCGCACTTTTGTTCATAATAATTAAGGCCGAAATGCTAGCTGGTCTTTCCCTCTTTGGTGATGTTTGCCAGATCTAATAGCTGGACACTCTGATCAGTAATATGATAGATTAAGAGAAGGGAGCAAATAGAGGAATGCATTTTTCCTAGTCTTTCCGTCTTAGTGTTTTTCTTATTAATAGAAGTGACCAGCCCACCATTTGGAAATGGCAAGCCATGCCATTTATAGCCTGCTGCGATGGGAATCATTTTTGAAGACCTTACAGATTATAGCACTAGGAGACACTTTTCCAAGTAGAGGAAGGATGGCTCCTGATATACCCCAGAAGTGTGACCTAGAAGAATGAGTTGAAATTTCTATGTTTGCAAATGATTATTTCTGTCGTATCTAGACTTGCAAATACTGATGATGCTGTGCCTCAGCAATTTACATGTGTCTGAGTAAAAGTCTGTCATTTTCTGACAACTATTAACATTTTAGACTGTAATCGTCTTAGTTCTTTGAATATGTGCAATTGCTTTATTAGAGCCAGTTGTAATATGAGAAATTTATTGTACTTTGAATTGTGTGATTTCTCACTTTACCAAAATTTTGAGTTTCTATCCATTCTGTCTGAGGTATTTTAATGATTTAATCCCTGACAGAATTTTCTATAATTTCGAATTAAACTTATCAACTGATATTGACTAAAGAGGGCATATAGAGAATAAATTATGGCCAAATTTCCAGGACTATAAATATGGTGATAATTGTTTTAAAATTCATAGTTCAAATGGAATCAGCTGCTAAGATTGTCTTTTTGTTTCTTCTTTTTTCTTTTTTGCTTCCTTGTTCTTTCCTTGTGATAATATTCATTGACAAGTAACCAGCTTCTAATATCCAGTATGTGCTTTTTAGAAGCTTAAGCGGCTGAATAGCTGTAATGTATCACCAGGTCACTCTAAGTGATTATATATCAAGTTTATTAGTGAATATTATTATTCCTTTTGCTCCAGCACAATATGGGTGACAATGTATCATGTTAAGTGTCTGATTAAGTATTTGGACATTTTGGTGTAAAACTCATTTTTTTGGAGAACTAACTGTATTCTTTCAAAAATATTAACTGTCAGAGTACGTTATTTTGGAAAGCATCTTATTCACAATCAATTCTTTCACATGCATCCTATCTTAATCTACCTTATGTTAATTGAACTAGATATGTCATACAAGTCTATGCTCTAGATTTGAATTACGCTTGAGAACTTGATGTATTTGAAATTAGGGATTCGACTACAAAGTTATTGTTGAAGATTTGGCAATCTTTGTGCAAACAAAACCTTGCTCATGGGAGGCAGATCAGTTTTTCATAATTAGGTCAAATATTTTCATAATTTCTTTGTAACTACATCTCATAGTCGAAATCTATGGATGATGTAGCTGTTTTTAAGGCCTTCCGTTATTTGGCTTTAATTGTTTTGATATGTAATCATATAATCATTGTAAAGAACATAGTGGAATCTTCATCTAGAGCAAATGCTGAAAGTAGCAGCTACAGGTGCAGTTGATTCTGATTCATGCATGTATAGTTGTTATTTGCAGCAACTAGAGGAGACCATGATCGATGCTTGGGAGGAGGTAGTGGTTGTATGGAATGAATTAGATGACTTACAACTTAACCTACAAGTACAACTTGTGGTATTTCTTGATGACTAATTACATAGGTATATCAACATGAGACCTTTCTTGGTATGCACAGCAGCAAAAATAACCTTTGACTGCACATTTATTGCTCACACTTACGATGGCATCTCCTGTGTTAATCTGCTATAAAATCTTGATGGAGTGTTGGTGAATATATATGAAAAAAGAGCCTTTAGTTGAATGTGTACATATTGCTGGTTTATGAGTGACATGTTCGTATGGTCATAGATGTTATTTTAATAATCCCTTTCTTGTCTTGCCATTATTCTTATGATTGTTATGTATATATTGACATGAGCTTTTGTTGGTGTCCATCTATGTGCTTGACACAATTTTTTTGCTTCCCAGTTCCCAGTTTCTTAGTGAACCGGATTTTTCTTTTGTTTATTTTAGCTTTCACCATCTTGTCATTTTCTTTATGCTGCATTCATGTTTGACACCAAGTTACACATAGAATTAATCAATCGCATGTAACATCCTGGTTTTCTTGGTTTGATTTCTTTTCTTCTTTGCAGAACTTCTTTGATTCTTTGCAGAACTCCTCTGCCACTAAACCATAATTAAAACAGCCAGATAGCCGTAGAACCATAGGCAAGACCCTGATATGTATAGCTGAAAAATCTAAACACTTACGCTGTATTTCTGCAAGAATTTGATAGTAGTTGCCAGAACATGAAGCTTTATTTTACCTTAGAAACAAGGAGTGCCAATATAGTTTCTATTAGTTTGTTTGCTTGAAAGATGCACTTCTGGGGTTGATTTTTCTGCATGGACAATTGTTCATCGCATCGTGTTTTTTTGCTTTTGTGTTTGTGGGAATGGCTTATTTAAAGGGATAAATCACTGGATCTGTAATTGATGTTCTAATGGTAAATCCTGGATACTGCACAGCAGATTTAGAATAATGAAAGCCCCTCTGTAGGCAAAATTTAAGAGATGACAATGAAGAAACCAACCAAATTAGGTGGAATATTGAGTGGTTAGACATGTTCTTGCCATCAGATTTTGTGACTGGATACCAGTCTTCATGTTGGTTAATATTAGGAGATTAAGGAAAAAAATCAGTTCAGTGGATCTGCTTTCTTCTGCACATCACACATTGTAATTTAGATTGACTTCCTAATGGTAGATTATATGTGTACTGTCATTATATTTAACAGAAGAAATTAAAATCAAGGGAGAAGAAGTCAGCGAAAGTAGAATAGAGGATGAATGATAGATCTATGCATCAATGATGACAGATAAGGTTCTGAATGAGGTAGAAGACTAGGATAGAGATAGTAAACATATATTCCAGTGTCATGTGGTTTTAATATGCTTCAGATATAGATATAAACTAATTCAGTAAGCAACACACAATGCACCGAGTTAATGGGATAAGATCATTATTTATCAAATATTACATTGTATATGTTAAGATCACCAGTGCAAGGTCACTCTCAATGTATCTGTGATGTTCTTTTCTTCAAGTGGAATAGATATGGACACTTGAACTTCTCATCAATAAAAAAAAATTGGCTTTGCAAGCATGATGATCAAATAAACTAGAGCACCCTTTTCTTCTTTACTGATTATTCTTATCACATGTGATTACTGCTACTATATTAAGTCTGAAAGATTCCCCTTGTTCAAAAGTTAGGATAATCACTGAGGCCTTTATCCATCCATCACTTTTGTACTAATAGATTAAGTCTTGAGTGGCAACTTTGTCATTAAATATCATAAAAGATGAAGATGAACTGGGGGGGTGTTACCTATGATAATGACCACATGAAGTGTCCCTCTCACTTTCAGAAAGTAAGGAATGCCATAAGGTGAAATGTTTTGTTGGGATAAGATTGTCTCCAAGGTCCCAACTCTTTTTACCATTACAACTCAGCTGTAAAAATGGGTGATGTCACAAGCTTTGAGTGGTACAGCCAACCTGAGTACCATCCTTTTCATGCATGCCACAAATATCATCATCTCTGCAAGCCATGCTTTTAGCTCTTTGCAAAAGCTGAGATTTGTTTATTCTACTGATATTAAAGGAGGGAATGCATTGCATATCTGCATCTGGAAGGGAATATGTGAACAAGGAATAAGCAGTAAAATTCTCAAGTTAAGTTGGGTGTTGAGGGGTCCATGCTGGTGTCAATTGATGGGTGAATGAAGCCATGTGCAAGAGGTGCAACAAGTGGGGAACAAAGGATGAAGGGAGTAACATGGGGCATTATCCTCCTCTGGCACAGCAAGCTGGAAAAAACTCAACCCTCCCCCAGCTTTAGCTAGACCTTGCTTTTCCTTTAAGCCGACCACTCTTTCAGTAACTGGCTCCTTGAATCTCAATAAATTGTCATCTAAATGCAGGGTCTATTCCCATAAGCTTTACAGTTGATTGCCTGCAGCACAGTTGTGTAGAGACTCACCACCCTTCATCAGCCATATCATCAGATCCACACACAAGGAACTTTGTAGGATTTCATATTGTGGTTGAAGATTCTGCTCAGTCTGGTATCAGTGGTGAGAAGAATATATTCAGGTAATCAAAGAAGGGCTTTTCTTCTCAAATAATAAGAATCATCTTTGCTCCGAAGCTGACATTGAAGACTGTGTTGTAAGAGGTGCTGATCACCAGAGGAAATAACATCCTGTGCTCATGTATGCTTATGATCTATTAGAGTCTGATTACTAGTAGCCTATTGTGGGATCCTGGTGAGATTCTGTCATCATGTAAACCTAACAGTGAAGTTGAAATGATCTGTGTGCTCCTCTGGAAACTGTGGAGACTGGAAATAGACCTTCAATACTATATGCATAGTGAGTAATGGATGGAATCAGAATAATTTCTTCCTGATTTCCTCCTTGACAATTTGAAGTATAGTGAAAATTTTCAATTAGATCTTCAGATCAAGGCCAGCACCAAACTGGTGTTGATGGTGAGAGTCACAGCAAGTTTCTTCCAATACATATTCTCCTTGTACTCATCAAGGGAGACACACTCGTGCCACCTTCAGATCTACTCATGGAGTGGATGACAATGACCTACTAGTATAATAGAGATTGGTCGTTAATTTGCCTGTTGAGAGTTGAGTTTGGATCAGCATCCCTAAGTGGAAAAGGTGGACTGCTTCTCCTGCTTGTTCATATATTGATGATCACATCATGCTTTCTTATCAGGCAGCATGTTGCTCATTATACAAAGGCTTTATTCCCCTGTTTTGCTATCATCACTTGACTTTTCAATGCCTTTGTTGCCATCAATGCATGATTTGGATGTTGGCATTACAGCTAAACAATCTGCAGGTCCAGAAAGTGATGAGCTAACCCTAACCCTCTAATATATCAATTTGGTGCTGGTCTCTTGGCTGGCAAATATGCTTGCTGAATGTATTCATTAGATGCTCACAGGATTGCAAGATAATTGCCATCTTGTAGATCTTAGTTAACCACCAAAATTGTGGCGTGTACGAAAGCTGGAAACTCTTTATAGTAGAGATTCTCTTATACACGATGTTATTTAAGGGGGATGATGTCACCTCTCATACACATTATATTGGTGAGAGGTGAGATTAGTTTTATGAGAGTTGATATCTCTCTTGAAAATTGTTGGTCGATTCATCCTGTCATCCAAATGGCTTCTTTCTAACTTCTGATTGCGTCTGTTTAGGCCAAATGTCACTTTTAAATATCAAGTCAAATAAGAATAATTATCTTTTTCACATGCATTATTTTGTTTCTCAAATCAATGTTCATTTTATCTCCTTCTTCTTCTTCTATGTACCTAATGGGATAGAGAAAAATATACATAAGGCTTCATCTTGTGACAAAAATATTTTCAATGTGCTTTTCCCCTCTCACATCTATTTTCTGCTTGTACTGTTTTAATCTTATATAAAGT